GTTAACCTTAACAAAATTCTTAGGATTAATAACTTCTCCATGTTATTGCAAGACCACCTACATCATTTGCTAGCCTAGTACAAAATGAAAAATGTGGGATTCCTTGTTAAAAAATTAAGAATTTCAAGACTCAACAGCAGAGCAGTAAGCCAAGCACAGGCCCTTCTAAGCACAGGGCCTTGTGCAAGTGTGCAGCTTACACACCTGTGAAGCAGGCCCTGGTTTTCTGTGATAAAAAGAAATAATTCCTTCCATTTCGCTTCAGACTAACTCTCTAAGACTTTGGGACTATCCCCTTAGTTCCTGTATGCCAGAATTTGGCAAATATAATTCATATCCATACGCATCATAAATATATTTACCTATTAATTTATTTCAATTGTTTTTGCTTTTGCAAACCAAAGAGTCTATTTCCTGTCAGAGCTACTTGATCACCACAATGATTTTATTTTTCAATCCCATATCTTTCCTTTCTTCATTTGTCTTCGTTTTGCTTGCTTCTTTGTTTTAAGTGCAGTAACCAGAACTGCATTCTTATCTAGATTTAACATTGTGTTAGAATAAAATAGTGATTTTAAATTTAATTCCATATCATCTTAATGATTTACTTTATCTTATTGACCTCTTTCAAATCAGTAAATATTTATTAAGCACTTGCTAAGTACAGGACAAAAGGACAAAGAAATCACAGACCCTGCCTGCACAGATTTTAAATTCTAACAGAATTGATCCTCACTCCAGACTTTCTTTCCTGTGTTTCTCATAAGAGCTCAAAGTCAACTGTTTTATTAATAGAGTTTCTTTTTCTTTTGTTTTAATTTAACTTAAATAAATTACACAATTTCTGAAAATCTACACATTAAAAATAATGTGGGTACATGACATTGTGATATGGCTTCTTTAAGAGAGCCCTTTTCATTCAAGGTTACTTAGATATAAACTTATATACAAACCATTCAGTATACAACTTAAAAAATTACTAAAGTAGTGTGCAAACCAGATATCCTCACCCTGTCCTTGACCTTCCCATGCTGGAGTATGAATTCTGAACATGGCATGGGGTCAGGAAAGAGTAGAGGATGAAAGATGAAGCAAAGGTCTAGAATGAAATAAGAGTGAAGAATGGAAGTAAAATTGGGTATGATGTTACAGGAAATATTTAATAATAAATAGCAGTGATGCTGCTTTTGAGAAACAGTATTAAAATGAATTGCTTTATTTCACTACATACCACTATCTCCAGATGGTTTGTGAGAATGTTAAATAAAAATAGTTTCAGTATACATTCCTCAGGCATACTTCTATTAATGTTTCTCATCAAAAGAAATGTTGATTTATTTGTTTTCTGTCTCTAACAACCATGGAAAAGTCATTCCATAATAAATCTTCTCTGTTTTCGTACCAGAATCAGGTATAAGAATCTTCTCAACTCCTTATTCAGACCTTCACCAAGTTCTTTAGATTCTTGCTTCACAAGATTACCTTCCTTAAGTATTGTTTTGATCTGATCATTTGTCTTTCCAAAAGCCCAGAATCACTTCCACTTACTTCTTAAGTTAAAGTAAAATTATTGATTTGAATTTGAGTCCTTTAATGGTACTTGACTTACTGAGTTCTCATATCTAATTTCCTGATCCACCACTCAACCACAATTTGTACTTTATACTTGGGCCAAAGAAATTTATTTTACCTTCTCCTTGATACCCTTCATTATCTCTCATTGATTCACCATATATGCCTTTCTCTCTTGTTTGACAAATTGTAACTCAACTAGGTCTCTTTTAAATTTTCAGTTCTTGCTAAAGACTTAGTAAAGCTATCCTGAAATATTTGTATCGGTCCTTTAGTGCTCACTATTAATTCCCTTCATTTTCTTTCCCCATCATCTTTTATTTTTTCTTAATGTTCCTGAATACCTTGTTCTTATCTGTATGTCTGGGTATGAAATTAATACAATTTGGTATTTGCTAATTCTTTCTCGTATTAGGTTTTAAATTACTACAGATTAAGACTCTTTTTTTCCTTCCTATGTTGTTTCAAAACTTCATGTAGGTGGCATTTAGAATACATCGTTACCCCTCCTATTGAGTGACTAGGCCTTAATCTCTTGTTCCTTGTAAATAATTATTAATATCCCTTAAGACACTTTATCTTGGTTATACCTTTTTGGATATTTAAATATGGTAGGGTTCATGAGCATAATTCTACTAGCCTCTTTAAAATCAAATGGATATTATGTAAACTAGTGAAAAGAACTTATGCTTTAGTGTCAGACAGACCTGGATTTGAATCTTGGCTCTACCATTCACTTGTTCCATGTATGACCTTTTACTAAATTCTCTTACTACTCAAAACTCCTAGTACTGTTGCTGTTACTGTTACCACCATTACCATGTTTATTTCTATGAGCTGTTCTGAATAGGCCTCTGAAATCTAACCTAGTACTGCCATAATTTATCTAATGCTCCCACCCAACTAAAATTGCACAACTTAGGGGCCGGCCTGTGGCTCACTCGGGAGAGTGCGGTGCTGATAACACCAAGGCCATGGGTTCGGATCCCATATAGGGATGGCCGGTTGCTCACTGGGTGAGCGTGGTGCTGACAACATCAAGTCAAGGGTTAAGATCCCCTTACTGGTCATCTTTGAAAAAAAATAAAAATAAAAATAAATAAAATTGCACAACTTATGAGAACCCTAATCTCTTAGAGAAGATCAGCGTATAAAGATCGTAAAGCTGATGTGTCCATTTGCCTTTTTTTTTTTTTTTTTTTTTAGCATTACAGACCCTGTTAAGGGCTGTAAGTAACTTTGAATTGAATTCCTGTAAGGGAATATAAATATTCAGATGAACTCTCATTTGTTTCTTTATTGAAAGAAGTAAAAATTCATTCTTAATCATTTTTTTCTTTTGAATGTAATTAAAAGGCAGCGAGGCTGGCCTTGGTACAAAGTGCACAGATGCAGTTCTGCAGAAAATGTGTCTTTGGCAGATGAGATTCTTCCTGTGAACGTTCTGTTTATTGCTTCCATAAATATTCTATTGTCAAAACATGACTTACTGTTTATTAACAGCACTGACAGGAAGATTCCTATTAATGGCAGCATTCGTATTACCTATACACCCTGTCACTTTTAACTTGGCAATTTTAAGAGAATTGTATTTGGTAATTACTTAAGATATTTCTAAGTTTATTGATCCCCACCCCTGTTTAACTGAGTGAAGTCTGAGTGGCAGTTCTTTTGTTCAGTGATTTACACTGGGAAAAATCAAGTCTGTGTCTTTGGAGGCAGCTGAAAACTTGCTGCCTGTCAGTCCTGATCTTGTTGCCCTTCACCTTGCCAGATAAACAGTGCATTGAGCACCCACTGAAAGCAACACACTAAGGAAAATGCATCAATGCAATCCCTGCCCTTAGAAAGTTTACAGTCTAATGTGGAAGTGAGCCAAACATATATGCTTAATATGGGACTGGAACGGTTGCTTTGGAGAATGAGGGCCTTGAATCTAAATCATACTAATTGTTTGTCTTTTGGAAAGTTATTTAATTTTTTGTTGTTGTTGTTGTTTGCTTATCTGAAAAGTAGAAGTGATACTACCTATTTCATGGAATTGTGAGAATTAGCATTGTGAGTAGTACCCATTCAGTAAACTTGCTGCATCTTGGTGTCTTCTTCCCTGATTTATAATTGACAAAGATATTTGCATCATCTAATCCTCACCACAATCCTGTAAGGTAGCCTGAGCATAGGCTTCATCCTCATTTGTTGGAGAGAGAAACTAAGGCTCAGACAGGCTGAGTGTATTACTCAGATGCATCCAGCTGATTAAATGGTGTAGTCAAGCTAAGAGCCCAGGTTTCCTGACTTCACTGTATTTTCTGCTGTTTGACACCTGTGCCCAAGTGACTAAAATTTAGAATTAGGCTTTTCAGTGCCACTATACTGAGGCTGTATACAGAGTTCTATATTTGGAGATAATGTGAAGAAAAGGAAAGGAGCCAGTGTTTTCATTGGAACATGAATGGAGTCATATTAGTTTATTACAGCCTTCAAGAAAGGCATGAGTAAGTATGTAGGGAATGGCCCAGAGATGATCTGGCTACAGTAGAAAACTCATGCCTGTGGTAAAGTCAGAAAGGAGGATGTTTGCATACTGAGTAGATGTGCTTAGAACCCACATCATACCAGAAATCATTTAGGCCTTGTTTTCATGTTTATTATTTCTCAATTTTATTCTCATTCTGAGTTGAACTATGCAGGTCATAATGTGGTACAGTAGAAAGAACATGGTCTTTGGAGTCAAACCTCAGTTCAAATCTCAGCACTATCAATCCATAGCTGTGTAATCCTGGGCAAGCAGCTTAACTTCTCTGAGTTTCTGTTTCCTTATCTACAGAATAGAAATAATAATAATATTTAATAGTGTAATTGTGAAGATTGGGTGAATTAACATGTGAAAAATGCCTTGTACATAGAAGGCAGTTGAGAAGTACTAGTTCTTTAAGCTGTGTTTCAACACAATGACATGCAGTCTGCTATCCCCTTCTGACTGTATTCTGATCTTAAATTTCTACTAACTGAACTCATAGTTTTTTAGAATTGAATAATTTTCTTTCTTGATAGCCTATTATGGATCTTTTATAAGTATTTTATTGTGAAATAACATTAAGCAAAAGAAATCCTCAACTTACACCCAAAATGTTAAAAGGGTCAGTTTTAATTTTCCACTATCAAGACATTAATAGTAAAGGAGTTCTTCTCTTAATTATAAAATTCATTTTTCCTTTCCATAACAAGAATATGTGTAAGATAGAAAAAGTAATTGCACTGGTTAATAATGTATTATTCTTAACAGAATGAAAGACATTTATATAGGAATACTCTAAAAATAATACTTTTTTATAAGTAGAAATTGATGCCATTATAGTTCTATTTTATTTTGTGATTACATATTGATAAGACAAATATATTCCTCTAGATTCCTTAATTTCTATTACCTATATCCTTTTAAAAAAACTTGTGAAGATAGATGCTGTGAAATTCATGCTAAAAAACCACACGGTAAGTCTTATTTCATTAGTAAATGCCTAGAATTTTCCAGATAGTTTAAGTGAAGCATTAGTAACTTTAACTGCTCTTTTGCTCTCATTAGAGTGAACACTTCCCGTTTCTTGGCATCAGTGACAGTTATAGTCTCAGTGACTTCAGGTGCCGAACAACCTTCTACACAGCCCTCACACGCCTTCTGATGGTAGATCTAGGTAAGAAGGCTAAGAATTTAAGCTCAGTTAATAAAGGATCAGCAATATACTTGTGTGAATAAAGAAGTGGAATACTAATGGGTACAACATTTAATTTATTAGAATTTGCTATCTTTGACAGTTTTCTGCACCTTTCTAAGATTTCAGCATTCACTTGTTAGTATCAAGGACAAATCTTTGTCCTTAAGGTGGTATTTTTCACTTCAGATGGCACTTGCATTGATTCTTTACCTCAAAATTTATTTTCTATATATCTTTTGACCAATTAATTTGTTGCTATGAATCAAGGAATAATCTTGAACACAGAAAAGCTTTACACACAAAGACTTTCTCTGTAATAACATTTAAAGTAGAGAAAAAATGGAAACAATGTAAGTATCTAACAACAGGGAATTGAAGAGTTATGGTACATCCACTTACTTGATGGAATGGTCTGTAGTAATTTAAAATGATTTGAAGACAGTGCAATACATGAAATTTTGTGTTATAATATTAAATGAAAAGGCAAAGTGTTAAACTGTGCACATGGTATGATCATGTTTATTGGAGGAAAAACAGTGCATCAAAAAAGGCTTAAATGGAATTCTTCATAAATGGTTAGTACAGTCATTATGGAAAACAGTATTGGGGTTCCTTAAAAAATTAAAAACAGAACTACCATACAATCCAGCAGTCTCACTATTGGGTATATATCCAAGGGAAATGAAATCAGTATGTCAAAGAGGTATCTGCACTCCCATGTTTATTCCATCATTATTCACAATAGCCAAGATATGGAATTAACCTAAGTATCCATCAGTGGATGAGTAGATAAGGAAAATGTGGCATATGAACACAATGGAATACTATTCACCCATAAAAGAGAAGAAAATCCTACCATTTACAACAACATTGATGAACCTGGAAGGCATAATGTTGAGTAAAATAAGCCAGGCACAGAAAGATGAATACTGCATGTTCTCGCTCGTATGTAGAATCTAAAAAAGTTGATCTCACAGAACTAGAGAGTAGAATGGTGGATACCAAGGACTAGGATGGTTTGGGGGTGGTGGGCAGAGGTTGTGGTGATGCTGGTGAAAGGTTATAAAATTTCAGGTAGATAGGAGGTATAAGTTCAAGACATCTGTTATACAACATGGTGACTATAGTTAATAACAATGTATTATTTTTTGAAAAACTGCTGAAAGAATGGATGTTAGGTATTCTCACCACAAAAATGATAATTATGTGAGGTAGTGCCTATGTTAATTAGCTAGATTTAATCATTCCACAATGTATATATACTTTAAAACATTATATTGTTCATGATAAATACAATTTTATCTGTCAATTAAAAATAATTAAAATGCTAAGTGTTGTCTTTGGGCAGTGGATTATAGGTCATTTTCTCCCATTTCTGATTATTTGAAATTTTCTTTAATGTATTACTTTTATAATGGTAAAAATCAACTTACTTTAAAAAAATTTTTTATTGAAAAGCTGAAGTTAGCTAGAAGTATCCACAGGAAGACAATATCTTAAGATGGGTACTTAAGCCTCTCTGTGGTGACCATATTACTCTGGATTCCCATTTCCCCCATATTTGAATACCACACGTTAGATCAGTCAGTTATAACACATGAGAAGGTTCGATCAATGACACTATCATCCTTAGAGAATATAATACTGAAGATACATTTTTCTTCCTTTCTCTTGCAATGTATTGATTGATCTATCAACTTCCATATGAATTTTTTAAAACGTGATCATACAAAAGGAAAGTATAAATAATTTTATTTTGCACATAAAAGGTGCGGAATCTTTTAGTAGAAAGGTGATTAAACCTCTCTGTGTCCCACACCCATATTATTTTCATGCATTTTAGCAAAATAAATAACCAAACACAGAAACAGCCAAAAGTTGAGAGAAATGCATGTTTAGTGATGATTAAGGAGTTTAGAATGATTAAGGAGTTTAGTGAGATTGGTTTCTAGTGAGTTTAGAATGATTAAGGAGTTTAGTGAGATTGGTTTCTAAGAAAAGATTAAAAGAACCATGTATATATAACTTGGCTAAATGACAACTAAGGCTGGAGGCAAAGAGAACTGTCTATAAATATTTGAAAAGTATAAACTAGGCGTGCAAAACCCAATCATCTACTACCTTAGACAAGTGGGAGGTCTAACTGACAGCTTTTCATACTGCACACTGGCCTGTTTTTATCTCTTTGTTGCTGCCTTGGAGAGAAGAGATGCAGCCCAGCCCCAGACTTAGTCATTGTCCTCAACAATCATTAAGAGAGTGCACAGTGCTGAACTCTGAGGGCAAGACAAAGATGAATCAGGCATAGTAGGCCCTGGCCTCAAGGAGCTTGCTTTCTTCTTTTCCCAGTTGTTCAAATGTGTTTCAAAGAAGACTTTGAGGGCCGGCCTGGTGGCGCACTGGATAAGTGCGCCGCTTGGGAAGCGCGGCGGCGCTCCCGCCCGAGGGTTCGGATCCCACATACAGACCGGTTCCCGCTCACTGGCTGAGCGAGGCGCGGGAGCAACACCGAGGGTTGCAATCCCGTTGCCGGTCCCCGGTCCGGTACGGGGGCAACACTGAGGGTTGCGATCCGTTGCCGGACACGGAAAAAGACAAAAAAAAAAAAAAAAAAAAAAAAAAAAAAAAA